AGTGAAGAGCATCAAGCCTTGGAACGAGAAGAGGCTTGTGGATCAAGTGTTTCTCTGTGCTAGCTTCAGTTTGGAGGTAAAAAGTTACCACCTTGAGCATTTCTTTTGATAGATCTCTTTCTAGAGAGTTTTAAGGCTTCCCCCTCCCTTATATTGTGGTTCCTGAGTTGTTGGAGCTTATCATGGAACTGAGACTCTAGATCTGGACAAAAGGAGGTCCCATGAGCCCAAAGATCCAAGCTTTATCAAGCTTTTTGGGAAAGTCTCCATGCATGAAACCCTTTATGGAGCTTGTTTTGGCATTTTGAGCCCTAGATGCCATGCATGAAAGTAAAGCTTGCAGCTTTACTTGATAAGTGAGCCTTAGAAGGCTAGATCCAGAGTATGAGACATCACTTCTGCCTAAAAACGTCTGAATGAGGAAATTGTCTGAAGGGACTCGACGAGTCGGTGAGCTGACTCGACGAGTCGGTTAGGGTTTTCCCCGACGAGTATGGACGCGTGTAACTCGGCGAGTTGATGAGACAACTCGACGAGTTAAGTTGGATTTTCACGAAACTTCTGAGGAAACAAGGGGACTCGACGAGTCACATAGATGCACTCGACGAGTTGGGTCAACAGGGACTGTCGACTCGAGTGTTGACTTCTATTGACTTTTAGGGTTTGGTCAAAACTTGGATTATGGAGACCATGGAGGGGTAAAATGGTATTTTACCCATTCCAAGAGTTAGAGAGGGAGGTTGACCGAATTTATTTAGAGTTGTGGTTATAAGTGTTAATTAGAGATGATTATGACATGTAGGCGGGGATTAGACCGTTCGAGGGGTACGAGGTTTACGTGCTTGCTTACGAGGCGAGTCTTATCACTATACTTACCATGAGTGGTAACTTTGTGTGACCGGAGGGTCTTGTATGCTGTTACTGAGTATTGTGATATCATGCATTATGTCTTTGTGATTTATGTTGTGTATTATTCTGAGCTTCATTGAGTTAGGAACGGAGGGTCCAACCCGAGTTGTGGGACCGGAGGGTCTCCACTGAGACACATTGACCGGAGGGTCTATATTGAGATATAGCCATGAGAGGCTAATGAGATGTGTGTGGTATTTTGGGGAACTCACTAAGCTTTATGCTTACTGTGTTATGTGATATGTGTTTCAGGTACTTCTCAGGATCGCGGGAAGGCACCGACTTGATTGTACACACGAGATGGAGTTTATGTTTTTGAGGATCCTGGATTTTATCAGACACTTTATGAATTTGTGTTTTTGACAATTTGACAATTTTGGTTTTGAAATGTGATATTGATAATTATGTGGTTTTGAAAATGAAAATTTTGTTTGAAAATTTACGGTGTTACAACTGCTCAACTCGAACTATCTGAAATTGACATAAAAACATGAGCAGTACGAGAATTCTAATGAAATACATGAGTTGAACATTATTTAAATAAATGACATGCAAATGTACAAATAAAAACTGCCCTATAAGATGCATGAAATGATATCTAACAGTTACTCTAACCAGAAGATTCGTCCTTTCAGACGTTTTTAGGAGTTAGGAATCATAAAAATGTGATCTTGGTCCTCATATCCCTTTCATGCAAGAGTTATGATGTCTTAATGGATAATTAAGTTATAGTTTTAGCTTTTGGATATTGTCTAGCCATGGAAAGTATTATAGGTGGAAACTTTATGACTTAGAATGATGGTTATGGGTCTAGATATAAGTTTGGACGTGAGGTCTTTAAGGAATAAATTCTTAATATGAAGATGTGGCTTCAAACGGAGTATGTTGGGCGTACCAATGGGTACGCTGCGCGTACTGGGTTAGAGTCTTGTAGTTTTGAATGAGATGCAATTACGCCCAACGTAGTAGCTGAGTACGGGGGCGTACTCAGCCAGCTTGGCTTTCCCTTGACTTTTTGACTTGTTGACTGTGACCTGGGGTTTGACCAAGTTTGACTTAGGGGCATTTTGGGTATTTTGAGTTGTGATTTGAGTCTAGGCCACTGTTTGTTGTATAGGTGACATGTAGAGTTGACATTTGGAGCATCGTTGTTTTCTGCTATCTTTTTAGACTGTGAGGTGAGTGTCCTCACTGTACTTGCGGGTCGAAGGCACCAATGTCGCCCCATTCGGTTATGTATTCTAGTATATAGGATGTTGTTATGTTGTAGTGATCTGTTAGATCTGTATGGTTATTTGTTTGCTGGTTATATGTTTATTTGTTGCATATGTCAACATAGTGTGGTTAGGTTGAAGCAATATTGCTTTGTGCAGAAGCCAACAAACGTGGGACCAAGCCAAACATAAGTTGTGGGCCGGATAGGCATGCCATACTTATGTTGTGGGCTCGGGAGCAATCCAGACATGAGTTGTGGGCTAGAAAGGCAAGCCAGACTCATGTTGTGGGCTTAATAGTAATCCAGTCCGATGGTTGTGGGCCTAGTATGCATGTTGTTATATGTTTGTGTGGTGGTATTTTGGGGAACTCACTAAGCTTTGGCTTACGGTTTAAGTGTTATGTTTCAGGTACTTCAGATGATCAAGGGAAAGCATAGGCGTGATCGTACACATCCTTCGGCGACATGTTTTAGAGATATTATGATACCTTGATTTTGGAACATTTGTACTTGACATTGGTTTCTTATGACTTGGGTTTTGGTTGGAAACAATGATTTTACTTTAATTAAAAAAGAAAATTTTTATCGTGAGTTTTGGTACATTACATTGTGCCACAAAGTTAAGGTTTAAATTCGAACTTCCCATATATTCAACGCTATAGATATGCTTAAGGTCAGATAGTTGGTACAACATATTTGTTTGTAATGCATGCTAAACATGGTTAACTATATGCAATATCCATTTATTGATTTCGTAAAAGTCATAATCTATGAAGTTGATGTCGATAATTAGTAGAAAGTTGATAATGTTTGACATGCTTGGTCGTTTATGTGTCTTGGATGAATGACTAAGTATAAAAATTAAAAAATCAAGTAAGTTCCTCGACCTCTATATGTGACCTTTCGTTCTTGTCATCAAGAGAACCAACTATCGTTCTAAGGTTAGAACAGTTACTATTTTCCTAGTTGGCTTATTGTTTTTCTCATCGCTAGAAGAAAACAAAAAAATAGCCTTTGCATAGCTAGATAAGTAATTAACATCTATGAGGTTAATTAAACATTATATTAAATAAATATGGCATATCTATTTATATAACACACTAAAAATGGTTAACTGTATCCGATATCTATATGATTGATTTACTGAAATCATAATTTATGAGATTAATGTCAATAATTAGTAGAAAGTTACTCATGTTTGACATCTTTGGTCAAAATTCAACAAATCAAGTAAGTTCCCCACCTCAATCCATGACTTTTCTTTCTTGTCATCAAGAGAACCAACTATGGTTCCAAAGATAATGACTTTTTGCGTAATTGGCTCATTGTTTTATTTCCCTCGGACAGAAGAACACGAAACAAGCATCATTACATAGCCAAATTCATAGTTAATACCTAGAAGGTTAACTGCTATGTTAATACTAACCATTTTTAGGATATTAATAATATCCATTAATGATTAAAATTTTGGGAATAGTTCACATACATGTCACATATGCATGTCACGTGACTATTTTAATTACACGATAGTCTCGACAAAGATACTTTCAAAAAAATATCTGACGCGTAAGGGTACGTGGAGCTATCACGTTGGCGTTTTGATGATACAAAAGTCTTCACTCATTGTCCGATTTGATTTAGCATGTTAAGCGGGAATTCAAAATTTCAAACTAAACTCATACGCAATCATATATATAAATATATTTAAAAAAAACAGAGTGCATAATAAATCTCACATCCATCATCTCGATTTTTCCTAATTACGTATATAGGCACAAATTCCTTATAGAATCACATTAAGTTCCTCTATTCATCACCTGTATATAACATTTTTTGTATTCATAAATAAACTAAAAAATGTACAAAAGAGAGTAGGTTGTATCCCTTAATAATTCTTCATCATAACGTCTATGTTGCCCAATGTTGATATATAACGATTAAAATGTTTATGCATTACATCGAAACAAGATTCATTGTTCATTTCACCACATAATCACCACCATCTCATTAATTCCATTTAAAGGCCTAACTCTGACTATTTGTAGACGATGACTTGGTCGATCCTGCTGCGTATTAGAAGAATATTTTGGCTATACCATTCTTGTAGAAATACTCACTCATTACACAAGGATGGAGTATCCCTATTTTTCTTTGCTTCCAACCTCAAAACGGTTTCTTGAACCGGCAACACCCCTCTCATTCTCTCTTGCTCTCCTCCCGTCGATTCCTCTTCTCCTCCTTCGTCAAACCCGCTCAACTCCATCCCGCTACGATTCTGTCCTCCATTAGAAGTATTGATTTATAATTACTAACATAAAATGAAAATGATTCATATAAGATAAGATTGAATATATTATATGCCCTTTTAATAACATAGTTGGTAAAACATTCCGATTAATCGAATCTCTGTTTCTCATTTCAAGACCGTATAAAATTATCTTATTATCAGACATTTAGAGATGACCAATAACATGAAATCTCACTTCGAAAACACAATATTCACAATACACTTTGTAAATGCCTATCGATTATAGGGTTATACCGATCTAGTAATCGCAGTTCGATTACATGATTATAACTGTCTGGTGATAGAAACAACAAGTTTCAAAATCTTATATTGATAACAAAGAAATTACTTCCTAAAAAAAACCCATTTAGAAAACTAAACCAAGCAAGAAAATGAATTTGCATTGAAAGAAAATCTAAGAAATGATACTCCAATCACTTGACATTGAAGAAGGTTTGAAATAAATCAATGATTGAAATAAATCAATGAATATTCTATGTAATGCTCAAGATTTTCACTTGGGCACCCACAAACACATGAAACTACATAAGCCCTTGTGGGTTTGGGCTTTTGCTTCTTCTTTCTCATCTTTGATACAAATAAGTACCTGAATTCTCTCCGACCCTTGCTCACATTGTCCCCTTCTCTTCTCCCTCTAGACCTTCTTTCTCTCCTTGCACCGCTATTTCTCTCTCTGAAACCTCTCTCTGTGGTCGCCATTTCAGCCTCTTGAAATCAATTTGCTTAAAAGGCAATGGATTTCTTGATGGGTGTTGCCAATTAGAGGTTTCAATTGAAATCCTCATCAGGTTTGCGGAATTCACCGATTTTTACTCAATGTTATTGCAAATTTGATGTTGGGGGATTTTGATTTTGTTTGTTTGATGTGAAATCTGCTTAATTGTATGTCCTACTGTTTCCGCCTTTCTGTCGTGCACTTCCGTAACTTCGATTGTAGGGTTCTTGATGTTAATCAAAGGGCATTCCTTAATTCGTTAGTTAATCCCCCCTTTAAGATCGATCAATGCTCATAATTGGGCGCCCCTGTTGTATCTAAATTATTGATGATTCTAAGGTCCAATTTTGGGTGTTTTCTCTGATCCATACCCGATTACACAAAGGGCTTTGTTGTTGTTACCAAAACGTTGTTTTGAACTTCAAAAAGACGCAATCTTTAGTGTTCCCCTCTGTTTCTCCCCCTTTTGGGTGGTTTTTTTCGGTTTCTTGTCTCTTTTCATGTTTGGTTCTTTGGGGATTTCAGAAATGAATCGCAGGGTTAGACGAAAGTGTGCTAAAGGAGCCCAAAAATTGGATTTATCAACTAACCCCGAAACCGAGGATGCAGATTATCTGAAACTAAACGAAGATGGATTCGTTGATTGGACCCGTTTACCCGATGACACTGTGCTCCAACTCTTCACTCATTTGAACTACAGAGATCGAGCAAATCTTTCATCAACCTGCAAAAGCTGGAGATCACTCGGATCTTCTTCATGTTTATGGCAATCATTAGATCTCCGGGCCCACAAATGTGATTGGGGGATAATGAATTCATTAGCTTCCCGATGTGCAAATCTTGAAAAACTCCGGTTTCGTGGTGCTGACAATGCTGATTCCTTAATCAATCTCAGGGCCAAAAATTTAATAGAATTAAGCGGAGACTACTGTAGGAAATTGACCGATTCGACCCTTGCAGTCATTGTGGCCAGACACAAAGCTTCTAGAAAGCCTCCAACTGGGGCCCGATTTCTGCGAAAGGGTCAGCAGTGATGCGATTGTTGCCATAGCTTTTTGCTGCCCGAAGTTACGTAAGCTTAGGCTTTCGGGCATCCGGGATGTGAATGGAGAAGCTATAAATGCATTAGCTGCCCACTGCCCGGATTTGACTGACATCGGGTTTATTGACTGTTTAAAGATTGATGAGGTGGCGTTAGGGAAGGTGAATTCAGTTCGGTTTCTTTCGGTTGCGGGGACCACTAATATAAAGTGGGATTTGGTTGGTGAAAATTGGAGTAAGCTTCCGAATTTGAAAGGTCTAGATGTTTCTAGAACTGATGTGTCAAGAAACATTATTGTGAGGTTCTTTTTGCCTCTAAAAGGTTTAAAAGTGTTGTGTGCGTTTAATTGTCCTTCTTTGGAAGAAGACACAACGGTTTTCACAAAAACAAATTGTGAAGGGAAAATGTTGCTTACTTTTTTTAATGACACTTTCAAAGAATTGTCATTGATGTTTCCAAATGCTAAAGAACGTGAACGTGAGATTTTCATGGATTGGAGAAGTGAATCGAAGAAAAAAGATGAGAATTTGGATGAGATTATGAGTTGGGTTGAGTGGATTCTTTCACATTCCCTTTTGCGAATTGCCGAAAGTAACCCTCATGGTTTGGATCAGTTTTGGCTCACTCAAGGGGCTGATCTTTTGCTTAATTTGATGCAAAGTTTTCAAGAAGATGTGCAAGAAAGAGCTGCAACTGGGCTTGCAACTTTTGTGGTGATTGATGATGAAAATGCTAATGTTGATGTGGGGAGAGCTGAAGCAGTGATGAAAAGGTGGTGGAATTCAGCTTCTTTTAGGGCTTGCAAGATCTTGGAAAGAGGGTCTTCAATCTGAAGCCACAAAGGTTGAATCTTTAACTCTTTTTCATGTTTTCTTGAAAAAAAAATGTAGTCCTTTTGATAAAATGATTGTACTCAGAACATAAAAGTTTAACATTTAGTTTTATATTTTGTAGGCGATAGCAAATCTTTCAGTGAATCCTGCTTTTGCAAAAGCAGTGGCGGCAGGTGGCGGCATCACCATTCTTGCAGGCTTAGCAAGATCTATGAACAGACTGGTGGCAGAAGAGGCGGCTGGAGGGCTTTGGAATCTTTCTGTTGGGGAAGAACACAAGGTTGGTTTTTGGTTATATTTGTTTGTCAAATGTCAAACCTTTGACTTTTTTTTTTAATCTCATATCATGAATGTGAATAATTTTGTTTCAGGGAGCTATTGCAGAAGCTGGTGGCATAAAAGCTTTAGTGGATTTGATCTTTAAATGGCCTAGAGGTGGTGATGGAGTTTTGGTATGTGCCTCACATCCATGTCATATGTTAAAAAATGTAAATTTTTCAAAGCACAATGTTGTAATAGGAAGAAGTTAAAGTAGGATACTGTAATAAACAAATCAATGAAACTACAATGTTGTTTCTTGAAAGTAGAAAAGATGAATAGGGTATAACTTAAAAAGTAAAGGAATCCATACATATATCGTGTATGGAAATTTCTATATCTAACTTTTGCATGATGTTCATTTCTTATTATTATTTAAAAAAAAAGATTTTGTTGATTTTTAGGAAAGGGCAGCTGGGGCACTTGCTAATTTTGGCAGCTGATGATAAGTGTAGCATGGAAGTGGCAACGGTTGGTGGAATTAATGCTTTGGTGACACTTGCTCGAAAATGCAAGCATGAAGGTGTACAAGAACAGGTAATAAATAATTAAATATAAAATACCTTTTAAAGGTACACTAAAAAGGCAGGATTTGGCCGGAATTGGAATTCAATTCCATTCCGATATCATGTCTTTGGTTTGAGGGATCTTTTGGATTGCAGGCGTTTCAACCTGAAACTCACAGAATTCAATCGACAGTTTTTCCACCTTGTTGAAAAAAGACTCAAATACCCTTCTAACCCTAGACTCTCACAAGTAAAAACCTCTCGCATGTCAATTTTCTTTCCTTTCAGATTCCAATTCCTTTAACAGATTCCAATTCCTTCCACTTCCATTCCGATCCTGTCTTTGATTTGCGCGATTTTTTTTGGGATTTGGATGGAATTTTCTGTTCGAATTCACAAAATCCATCGATGATGGATTTCAACATTTCATCCTAAAATCAAATTTTACGTCCCAGCTTGTTCACTTCACCTTGTTAAAAAAGACTCAAATACCCTTTTAACATTAGAATCTCACTCCATCGGCTTTCCCTCTTCCCTCTCACGAATTCCATTCCATTCATGCCTACAAACACGTGACAGAATTCAATTCCTACAGATTCCAATTCCTTCCAAAACATTCTGTGAATCAAACATCATATTTCAAGAATTTGACAAAAAGATTCAAACTTCATATGCAATTTCTTATTTTGTAATTATTGTGTAGTCGGCTCGTGCATTGGCTAATTTAGCAGCTCATGGAGATAGCAACACCAACAATGCTGCAGTGGGACAAGAAGCAGGTGCTCTTGAAGCACTTGTTCTACTTATTCGTTCTCAACATGATACTGTTAGGTATTTGAATTTCATTATTTTATTTGGATGCTTTTTTGGTTAAATGCAAGAAAATAGCAATGTGCTTTGTTTATTCAAGCATCCTACTTTCATTACTTTCTACACGATTGTACTTATAAAGGTGTACCCTTTTAAAGCAATGTCATTCATATACAAAGCAATTTTCATTTCTATTATACAAAAAAAAGGAAGTTGAAAGTACAATGAAATTAGGATGCCATATTACACATGTGTAACAACATTGCTATTTCTTGCTTTTAACCTTTTTTTAATACTAGATTGGGAAACAATTGCCCTTTTAGAAGTATATTTGTTGTATAAAAAAACTTAATTTGTGTTTCAATAGGCAAGAAGCAGCAGGTGCATTGTGGAATTTATCATTTGATGACAGAAACCGAGAAGGGATTGCATTAGCTGGTGGTGTTGAAGCCTTGGTATGACACCTGGCACATAATTCATTTGACTGAAAAAAATGTCATAAAAGGAATTTTTTTGAAATCATTCATCGCATTTATTCGATAAATTGCTATATTTATCGCAAGACCTTATATCACTATCAACCAAAAAGTTTTTATTAACAAATAACATCCATAAAAGGACATAAAAACCAAGATCTTTTTTGCCTTTTGGAGCTTTGAAATTGTGTGCTTTAGGGTTCAAATTACAACATATCATTTGATCGTTTATGTTATGTAACATCTTTGCTTGATCAAACTTGATCAAATTTAGGGATCATGGCTTCTTGCTCATGAACCCTAAATTTTCGTACGTGTAGGGTTTTGTGTTTTTTGAGTATAAAATACGTATATTAAGTTTTTTTTTTCTTTTACATGTGATTGTGAAGGTTGCTCTTGCACACTCGTGTTCAAACGCCTCTCCAAGTCTTCAAGAAAGAGCAGCTGGAGCTCTATGGGGATTGTCGGTTTCAGAAGCCAATAGGTAAGTGCAAAGATTATGTCTTTCATTCTTTTCCATAAATGCCCTTCAATTAAAGCATGTGACTTTTTTTTTCTTTAAAGCTATTACCTAAATACCCTTTTCCATCCAACACAAGTATAGTAACATAATCAATTAAGATGCACTCTTTCTATACAATCTCCAAAATTGTATACGTACGGAACAATATATGATTTTGTTATAGCATTTAAGTGTAGCAAGATTGCTATTATGGAAAGAATCCAATAAATCATATACAATCTTTATTTAGTTTTTACTTTTTTTTTTTTCTTATTTGTACTCATTTTGTGGTTATTTCATCTTTATTAGTATTGCAATTGGACGTGAAGGAGGCGTTGCACCACTCATAGCCCTAGCAAGGTCTCAGACTGAAGTGAGTAACTCTTTCTCTTTCTAGTTTCTATAAAAACATTTCATAGTTATGCTTTTTATCATTTTTCTTCCTATTACATCATTGTACTTTGAAAAATCTAACAAATACAAATCGATTTTCACTACAATTGGGTAGATTTTTCAATTTATAATGTCCTAATAAGAAGAGAATTAAAAGTACATTATAAACAAATAAACAAAAGTGCAATCTTATTTAGGATCTAAATTTCCGATTACAAAATGGATTTTAATTTTTTTTTTTTTTGATATGATATCAGGATGTTCATGAAACTGCTGCTGGAGCTCTTTGGAATCTTGCTTTCAATCCAGGAAATGCTCTTCGTATAGTGGAAGATGGAGGAGTTCCTGCTTTGATTCATCTTTGTTCTTCATCTTTATCAAAAATGGCACGTTTCATGGCTGCTTTAGCTTTGGCATACATGTTTGATGGCAGGTAAATCTTCAAATGGAATTATTTTTATAAATTTCTTGATTACTTTTGTGGTGTTTTTATTCAATTGCTACCGAGTTTTGTATTTTGAGTTTCTTTGAAGAAATTGAAATGGTTAGGTAGTTTTTTTGTTTCATGGAATCAGAGAAGGAATGTGATTTCTTCCATTTTATTTTATTTATTTTCATTTCATTGTGGAATTGAATGAAAAATTGTGGTATATAATATAACCCAATTTTATTTAGGGACAATGCTCTAAAAAGGTAACATAGTTTAGATTGTGTACATATTTAGTCACTTATGTTATTTTTGTACATATTTAGTCATGTATGTTTTTTGACCATTAAACGTAATGTTCATATGTGTACAAAATAAAACATAATTGGCTAAATATTTACAAAAAAACATAAATGACTAAATGTGTACAAAAATAAACATAAGTGACTAAATATGTACACAATTTAAACTATGTTACCCTTTTAAGTCATTATCCCTTTTATTTATGTATTTTTTAGTGACAAAATATCTTTTAAAAATAATTCACTATTTAAGTTGAATTACAATCTCTTTCTTTAAATTAACTAGAAAATATATTTTCATGATAATCTTATTTGGTTTTTAATTAGATTTTTATTATATTTATTTATTTATGATTATAAATAAAAAGTTCATTAATTTGTAAATAAATAATGCATAGAATAAAAAAAGTTGTTTGTTTTGCCTAGAACATTTTTGAAAGAACGAGCCTCCTATTTTGTTATTTTTCATTCCTTAGCCATGAAGTGTTTTTCATTTCCATTTCATCATGGGATTGAATGAAAAATTGCAATATAACATTTTATTTAACTTTTAATGACAATTTTTTATAAATAATTTCACGATTTTATAATTAAATAATATATAGACTAAAGCTAAATAAAAGTAGTGGATTGAGTAGTAGAGGAGTACCTAGTAGTATAGGTCCTAGTTTCCTTTTCACTTTTTGTGCTTTTCATACAATATTTACCTTTTAACTCTTTTTCCTTTCTTTATTCTCAACTTTATTGCTGGTATCTGCTTTCTGCATTATTCTCAACTTTATTGCTAGTATCTGCTTTCTGCTATTTTTCATTCCCCATATGGGCCCATGTTTCATATTCCAAATGTCATCTATGGAGGCAATCTCTCTACCCTTTGTTGTTGAAAATTCACTACATTCCAACAACACAACCAAACATGATCATGGAATGTAATGACTCATTCCGTTCATGCTTGTTTCCATTCCATACAACCAAACACCCTTAGGTTTTGTTTGGTATGATGGAATGGAATCACAAAGGAGTGAAATGAACAAGGTAATGGAATGAGCGAGGTAATGGATAATCATTCCATTCCATTGACATGTTTGGTTGGCTAGAAGGAATGGAATGAGTCATTCAAACATTCATATAGCTAAATAAATTGTTGTACTTTATTATTTCATCTAATATATTAGATATATAGATATATATATATAATATATATATATATATATATATATCTATATATATATATATGTTAAATGTATATCAAAAAATTAAAAAGAAGAATTATATGTCATCTCTCAAGGAATGAAAAAAGGTCACCTCTCCTCTCACCCATGGAATGAAAATCAGCCTAGGAAAAGGAATCACATTCCATTCCCTCTTCGATTACAACATACAAAACACCACCTTATATTGCTTTGTTAATATTTTTGTACAGAATGGACGAATATGCCCTTGTGGGGAGTTCAGCAGAAGGTGGTTCAAAGAGTGTTGGTTTAGAAAGGGCAAGGAGAATGGCATTGAAGCACATTGAAACTTTTGTGCTCACATTTGCTGATCCACAAGCCTTTTCTGCTGCTGCCTTATCTTCTGCTCCTGCCCCATTGGCACAAGTTATAGAGTCTGCTCGTATTCTTGAAGCCGGTCATCTACGATGCAGGTATTCTGTCTTTTCATACAAGGGCATTTTAGTCATTTCTGTTGTATTTATGTATGTGCATGAATATATAGACGTGCACCGATAGTATCCAAATGGAACTACCATATTGTTATCCACTGCATATAATGTGAAGTTTCTATTTAGCAAAAGGGCATTTTAGTCATTTGAGGCGTAAAAGATGATTGAAAAACTTGGATACGTTGTAAAGTGACGAATTGAATCTTAATGCTATAGATCCACTGCTATAATAATTTGGAAGTTTCTGTTGGTCAAGGGCATTTTAGTCACTTTAGGCCTAAAAACGTTGCGGGAGGCTTTGTATGGCCTTAGGTTGACCAATATGCCCCTACTCAATGGGATTTTCGTGTTGGGAAATACTAAATATGATGTTCTCGTTAGTGAGGGGAATTATAATTAATTTAGGCCTACTTTTGAAGTTAAGGTAGTGAAGGGCATTTTAGTCCTAAAATGACGATTACTAGTGACTAGCAGAACCCTTATGTTATATTTGATGAAATTGAGCAATAGTTACATATTGATTAACTCATCCTAAACTCTAAATTACTTCTGACTAGTAGAAATGACTAAATTACCCTCCATAGCCGAACCGTGACTAAATTATCCCTTACTACTTTCCTTGTAAGAAATTTTATGTTATGTTTGATGAATGCACATCAATATTATTTAAGTATTTTTTTCATGAAAAAGCCAAACAATACGCTTGAAAAAACAAATGGAAAGGTTGGACACTTGGGTTGAAATGTCCAAAATACCCCTGGTTTATGTTTAACATATTCTATTACTATCCTCAGCGGAGCTGAAATCGGACGTTTTGTATCCATGTTACGCAACCAATCCCCTGTGCTCAAAGCATGTGCTGCATTTGCACTTCTTCAGGTAAAAAAAGTCTTATCAAATTGTTTATCATTTCTTCCTATTACAACATTGTACTTATAAAAAACATATACCCAATTATTTCTTAAAGTTTTATAAGAAAAAAATTTCAAAGTACAATGATGCAATAGAAAGAAATGAAAGTAGAATGCAGTGATACACAAATAAATAAAAATATGTTGCTATGGGTTATAAGTTATTTTGAGAATCACAACTATTGTGTGAATGTAAGAACGATTCTCATATGTCAGATCAAAAGAATCAATGGTTCTTAATTTCTTATAAAAATCACAAGGAAGGTATTAAATACTCAAGAATCAATAAGAATCATTGATTTTTTTTCAAGAATCGTTCTTACATTCACACAATACTTATCATTCTCATATGATCATAACTAAGGTTGCTATTATTACATCTAGCCCTCTTTCTTTATACTGTTAATCTCATAAAAAACCTTATATTTTGTGTTTTTTCTAGATGAAACCTCAAATTTATTTTTTTTGCCTGAAAAAGACCTTGTATTTTTTCAATTTTTTCCGATCCGGCCCTTTTAGTTATTTTTTCCAAAAAAAAAAGTACAATGTGAGGGTTTTTTCGAGAAAAACTAAAAAAGTTGAGGGTTTATTCGGAAGCATTTAGAAGGCTGAGATTTTTTTTTTTTTTTTTCGGAAATAAAACAAAGTTGAGGGATTTTTCGGAAAAAAAAATGAAAAAATACAAGGTCTTTTTCAGACAAAAAATAAATTTGAGGTTTAATCCGGAAAAAACACAAAATACGTCTTTTATGCAATTAACCCTTCTTGCTTTATACATCGATTATTTTATTAAAGTACAATGTCTAAATACGAAACAAAAACAAAAATAGAAAGAAATGAAAATACATTGCTATTTGTTGGCCTTAACTTATTAAAAATTTGAAATTTACAGTTCACTGTTCCGGGTGGGCGGCACGCACCGCACCACGTGAACCTGTTGCAAGTCTCGGGTGCACCGCGGGTCCTGAGGGCTGCAGCCGCTGCGGCTTCGGCTCCGTTGGAAGCCAAAATCTTTGCAAGAATTGTGCTCAGGAACCTTGAGCATCACCAGATAGATTCAGCAGCTTAGAAAAAAACTTAAGTTAGTGAGACTTAAATTAGATAGTGTCAGTCAGTAATAAAGTCAAAATATATCATATCATATCATATATTTATATATATGCTTATAACTACCCCCCCCCCCCCCCCCCCCCCCCCCCCCCCCCCCCCCCCTCTCCTCACTCAAACATGGACCATGTGTGCCTTTGATGGGTGCTGATGGTTTCTTGGTTGTAGATTTTATGGACCACAACTCATTGAGTTGAGTTTAGTCGAGTCAGAGTCAGTTTGTATGACTTTTCTTTGATTTTGTACTTAATAACTTAATCTTTTTTTTTTATATGTATATTTTATTTTTAAATCATTTGCTTAGTTTAGTAGGTCTGCTTTGAATACCATCGGTTTTGGTTTGGGTACCATGTTCTTATGGGTATGTGTGTGCATACCCTAAAGGCCTAAACGTTTTTTTAGATTAGATTAATTAAAAAACGGGTTAATGTCACAAATGGGTCAAAAAGATAATTTTTTTTTTGTTTTTACAAAACACCGTTGTTTTAATGGTGATTTGTAAAAAAACAAGTAGTTTGTCACCCGACATTAACCCTGTAAAAATGTTACATTTTTCTTGATGTATAGCCAATAAGTTCTGTTAAGATTATACTCATGTTAGTCTTTATAATCTCGGTATAGTAGTTGTATGTTAGGAGTTATCAGTTTGAGATGAAGAGTTGATATAATTAGGGTGAATGTAATAAATTGGTAACAAACTATTTGTTTTTCAGTAATGCACCATTGTTTCATACATTTAGGTAGTGTTTGTTTTGGAAGAGCTACTTCCGGTCTTTTTCCATGTTTGTGGAATAAGACATGGAATAAAAGTCTTTTTTTTATGTCTTTAGTCTTTATAAAAAACTGTTTGTTTTTTAAAGTCTTCGATAAAAAAGAATGGTGGTGTTGGTGGTGGAGGTGGTGGCGGTGGCGGTGGCGGTGGTGGCGGTGGCGGTGGCGGTGGCGGAGGCGGAGACAACGGTGGTGGTGAAAAAAGAAATATCGAATTAGGACTAGAACTTAGAATTCCTCTTCCAAAATTGGAAGCTATTTTGTCTTATACGAAAAAGGTCAAAAAGATATTTTTATGTCTTTTGTCTTTTGGAAAACAGTTTTTTCCTCAATGTGTTTCCTCCGCAGACATAAGAGGTCAAAAGGACCTTTTGGCAAAAACAAACACCATCTTAGTTTAATATCATTTTCATCAGTCTATATGATTATGCTTTCATATTTCAGATATTGGTTTTTACATGTAGAATTGCTTCTAAATATCAAAATAAACAAACAATAGATGTTCTTCATTCTTTTTTTCTTTTCGTTCATGATGGAATAAAATGGTTCATGATGGAATAAAATGACAATGGCATAAAGAAATATGAATGACAACCACAGTATCTATTCCTTATGAGTTATAGTTGTTAGAGTATGTGTCCATTATAGAGGAGATTTTGGAACAATCATAATGTTGTAAGAGGTACGTGAAGGGTCTAGTTTATGGTTTGGACTAGGCTATCTGATGTATAGGTCTTAATGGTCTTTTGTCTTGTAATTAAGTTGTTTGGATGTGTTTACGGTCGTAAACCTGTTTACGACCAGCCTTTTCCCTATATATAGGGCTTGTCAGAGTCTGTTGTCAGTTGTTGTCGACTCATAGAGTTTACGGTCTCTCTGTATGTGTCTAAGTTGTACCTGACGTTTCTTTGATATAAACGTGTACAAAGCTTGGTTTAATCTTCTTCTACTCCCTTCTAATCTTGTTCGATTGTTGTTTGTTTGATCACTTGTTCGAATCCAAGTATTCAGGGCCTTACAATTGGTATCAGAGCCATTCCGGTGTCAAATCATCTTACAATCAAGTTCACGGTCAAAGGAGCTTAGTTTCGTCATTGTTCGAGGCCTGATTTGGTGTCTTCGTAGCAAAAGGGGATCAGATCTGCTTAAAATTCGTGTTTTCGTCAAAATCTGGGCATTTACGGTCAAGAGTTCACGATCGTAAACTCATTATCACGGCCGTAAACTAGCAATCTTCAATAACTGTAAACTGTGTATCTTTAGAAACCGTAAACAGGCAATCTTCAAAGACCGTAAACTCCCCAACCGTAAACAAGCAATCTTCAGAAACCGCAAACTGTGTATCTTCAATAACCGTAAACTCCTCAACCGTAAACACCTCAGCCGTAATCTCCTCAACCGTAAACTCTTCATCAGCCAACCGTAAACTTGTTTGCGGTCGTAATCTTGTGACCGTAAACTAGATTTTTTTTGGTGTTTTAGTTTATTTTAAGTCATTTTCAATTTAAAAAAAAAAAACAAAAACAAACAAAAACACAAAAACAAAAATGGATTCTCAAAGCCCAGCAATTCATCATGAATTGGATTCAATCATGGGAACAACCACTCGCATTTCACGCTTGTTATCTGCAGAAGGGTTCCCGGAATGGAAATACCAGATCGAGAAATACATCAAGATGAAAGACTTTAAGGTTTGGCGAAGTATTCTCAAACGACCAGTCAGAATCACTACTACTCTTGCGAATGGACAAATAATTGACAAAGTGTATGCTGATTACACTGATGAAGACTTCGAAAAGGTTGAAGAACAGGAAAGGGCGTTGGCTACTTTAACTATGGCTCTAGCTCTTGATATTGCTCAAGGATTCAGAGAGTATGATTCATCCAAGGCATTGTGGGAAACTTTAATTGAGGTCTATGAGGGTAATGAAGACATGAAACAGAGTCGCCAAGACATGTTAAGACAGAAATTCAATATGTTTAATTATGTTCTTGGAGAAACTCTAGAAGCCCAGTTGCAGCGTTTTACCACACTCACCACTGAAATGAGTGCTGCTGGGATTTATGTGACTAAGTCTGAGATAAACAAAAAACTGTTGAATTCACTTCCGAAAGCATGGGATATGAACGTGGCTGTCATCAAGAAGACGAAAGATCTCAATCGTCTCAGTCTTGCTGAAACTATGGCAATCATCAAAGCCTGTGATCTTGATGATAAGCAAAGAGAGATCAATCATGTGAATTCCTACTCGACTGCAAATCTTGAGATTTCCTCAAATAATGCTTTTTCATCCTTTACCTCCTCTCCAAGTCAAGCTTTTGCCGTTCAACAACCTCAGAATCAAACTTTTGTTGCTCCATCTGCTGCACCATTTGTTGCTTTATCATCTATGTCTCATCCACAAAATCAGTCTTTTGCTGTTCCACAAGCTGTTTCCTCCTCCAAAGCACCGGTTATGGTTCCTGCTCCCAATCCCAAAGAAAGCGATGAAAACTTAGCTCTTGCCACTGGACTTGTAAATTGTTGCAATGCTTTTGTAGTTGGAGAGCTTCCACCTCAACTCTCATTTGCTGATCTGGATCAAATTCATCTAGAAGATGTGGAAGAAATGGATATTACTTGGCAGATAGCAATGGTAGTATTCAGGGCAAAGCAATTTGCAAAGAAGACGGAAAAGAACAACTGGGGGATGAATGCTGACAAAAAGGTTGGGTTTAACAAGGGCAAGCTTCGATGTTATAATTGCCACGAGCCAGGTCATTTTGCTTGTGAGTGTCCGAAGCCAGACAGAAGGATAAACAATGATAGAACAATGGTTCCGGTGGGAAATAGTCGTGGAAGTGCTACTATCAACAGTGAGACTGCTAATATGGCAATGGTTGCTCAGTCCTTTGACTGGGAGGACCAGATTCAGGCACTGAATATTTCAGGACCTGAGAGTGCTCACTTTGCTCAAATCGATGATGCTCCAGAAGAGAAAGCTGAGGTTGATCCTGAAGAAGAGATGATGGAGTTGCAGTTTGCTTTTTATGGTATCTTCTACTCCAGAACCTGAGAAGAAAGAGGTAAGTTGGTCTTCCTGTTCTCAAACATGCATTGATAATGTCAAAAATTTACTTGAGCATATAGAATTATTGCGTAGAGAGAACGAGGACCTAAAATATGAAGGGTATCAACTTAGGAAAGGACAGAAACCTCTAAAAGCTCAATTAGAAGCAAAAACAAATGATTTTAAAAAAACTTCAGGAAGAGTATAGCAATAAGTGTGCCAATTATAGATTTGTGACTGAACAACTTGCTGAGTTAACTGCTGAGCTTGACACATTGAAAAACAAATTTGAAAATGCAGATTTTAATTTTAGAAAATTTGATGTGTCAAGTGAAGTAGTTGCGTCCATGATAGAACATAATTTGCAATTCAAAAATAACCAGCAAAAGGGTTTAGGATATGATAAAGTGCCTCCTCCTTTTAATCATAATTATCAGTCTAAGCCATTGACTGAAGAAGAGATGGACAGAGAGCCATTTCTTAAATATGGATTTGTGTCAGGAGGTAGTATTAATGTTGAAAATACTAATGCTTTTACTTCCCATGCAGATCAATCTTTAAGTCAATCAAAGCAAGAAGCTGAAGGATGTGTTTCTGAAAATAAAAATGTTTCTGAACCTGCTGTTTTTATTTCAAATGATACCACTTTTGTTTCTGATGTATCTTGTGATGATTCTGTATCACAACATGATAACTCAAACTTTTTCGATATATTTGATGATTTGTTTGACAATACCGATGTTTCTGTTTCAAGCACATCCACTTCACCAATCACACAACATGGTTCACCCTCATCAATCACACAATCTGATTCTTGCACATGTTCTTGTGGGAAAAGTAAGGGTGTCAGTAAAGAAAGTAAATCAGACAAAGGCAGTACCAGTTACAATAATAATAAGCAAATTTGTTTTAACTGTGGTACTGCCGGTCACATCGCTAGGAATTGTCCAAATAGGGCATTTGTGCATTTTTCTTCACCAAGAGGAGAGAACGAGTCTCGAGGAAGGTCTTTAACTAGAAAATCCTCGAGATCTCGCCCTCGAGATGATGATTGGAAGGCTAATCAAAACAAGAAAAGGGCAGTTTTTCAAAAGAACAAACAGGTTTTCAATAATAAAGTCACAAATAGTTTGCCAAAATCGAACAAGGCTAAGCCGAGGTCGGTTTCGTCAAAGAGCGGATCTGGATCTTCAACCACTTCTGGTAGAAAATCCAAATGCTCAAAGCAAACGGGAAGGAAAAATGTTTCAAAATCACC